GAGTTCCTTTGCCGCTGGAAACTTTCTTATCTGTTCCCAGTGCACAAAAAAGGAGATAAACGGAATGTCATAAATTATCGTGGAATCACCTCCCTGTGTGCCTGCTCAAAACTGTTCGAGATTATCATAAATGGTGCTCTGTTCGCACGCTGCAAAAATTATATCGATACAGAACAACACGGTTTCTACCCGAAGCGCTCCGTGTCCACGAACCTGGTGCAGTTCACTTCTAACTGTCTGCGATGCATGGATTCAGGATGGCAAGTCGATACGGCGTATATGGATCTAAAAGCTGCATTTGACACGGTGGACCATAATATCTTGCTGGCCAAGCTGGAGATACTTGGCATCTCGTCAACTGCTGTGGATTGGTTCAGATCTTACTAGGTGAATCGCTATGTACATCTCAAGATTGGCGCGTCGGAATCGGATGTTTTCTCAAACAACTCGGGAGTCCCGCAAGGCAGTAACCTAGGACCGCTACTATTTTCGATCTTTTTAAACGATGTCGCCTTGCTGATACCATCAGGATGCCGCGTTTTCTATGCAGACGATACGAAAAACTACAAAATTATTAAAAGCCTCTCGGACTGCTGGGATCTCCAGAATATGTTAGGTATTTTTGCTGACTGGTGCTCAAGAAATTTGATAAGTCTAAGCATAGAAAAATGTAACATTATTTCCTATCACCGAAAAATCGAACCAATCATGTTTGACTATGTTCTCTACGGACGCTGTCTTGCTCGTGTAGAGCACATGAAGGATCTCGGCGTTACCTTGGACTGCAGACTCACTTTCAGAATCCACTACAATGACATCATCTCCAGAGCTAATCGACAATTGGGCTTTATTTTCAAAATTGCCGACGAGTTTCGTGACCCGCTATGTCTCAGGTCACTTTACTGCTCGCTTGTGCGATCCTTATTGGAGTTAAGTTCAGTTGTTTGGTGCCCTTTCCATGCTAGCTGGATCACTAGAATTGAATCCGTTCAACGCAAGTTTGTGAGATATGCTCTTCGTTTCCTCAACTGGCGTGACCCAACGAACTTGCCACCGTACGAGGAGCGTTGCCGTCTCCTGGGAATCGAGCCATTAGAGGTGAGACGGACGGTCGCTCAAGCTATGTTCGCTGGAAAGCTGCTTACAGGTGACATTGACTGCCCAACACTGCTGTCACAGCTAAATATGTATGCCCCTGAGAGGTCTCTTCGTCAACACGACTTTCTATTTTTGGAACCACGGAGCCGGAATTATACACAAAACGAGCCAATTCGAGCAATCAGCCGGCAATTCAACAACTTTTTTTATATGTTCGACTTCAATGTATCAGCTGACGTGTTTCGTCATCGACTACTTGGCCTTTTCCGTACCGTTGACCGTAACTATTTAGTTTAAGTTTTCTTCATTTAAACAGTAATTGTCAGTTGAATTTTTCAATAAACAACCACAACAACAATCTTCCGCTATCCAAAAAGCCTCCTCCAACAGAGTTTGAGCCGTTTCCAGTGTTTTCATTGTATGACAGTTACGCCATCGAGGGTCAGAGTGCTTCCAATGCAGCAATGGACGCAAAACGTGGTCAGCACTCACACACTCATCTCGAAAGGGTTGCTTTCTAAAGTCGACGACGCATCGACTGAAAGAACTGCTGATGAAGTACAATGAGGAGGACCACACAATGGTTGCTGCCGAGAAAACAGACGATCGCGTGGCACACATCGAGAGTGGTTTGCTTTTGTCGACAGCCGAGTGAACACTAGCAGTAGTGATGCTGTTTTATATTATATTCTTTGTCATACTTGTCATCGTCTGCCAATCAATGTGCTACGATGTCCTTCGGCACAGTGTGCAGAGTTGATTACCCCTTGACATCGAATTGTGTTTTCAGTTTGCTCTCACTGCTACCAGAATTAGTTTTTGATGTGATGTCACAGGAAGATTTGTTTGCACTCAATGTTGAACCGTTAAAAGGACCAAAACAACAGCACCTTGAGTAATCATTACCAGCAACATCAAAACAGCACATTTAGTTTTTAATTTGATCTCACACTTTGCTCGGGTAATCTATGGAAGATTTGCAATGGTCTGAAAACACCAAAATAGTCTCCAAAACGCTAGAATTGAATAACAAAAATGCCAATAAACCTGCTTGCTCAGGAGCAATAAACTATTGAAAATGAAAAGTAGCAATAGAAAACATGTTTGAGAACTAAAAAAAAGGTTCCATAAATAATTGAAGAATTTTCACATATGTGTATGGTATATTAGGTGCAATATCAAATACCAAATCGTCATTCATTCATAATGACCCAATATGAGATAATCTTCTAGGTTGGAAAAGCTCTTGGACGGAATCTGTAATGACTCAGTACCATATAATCAAACTGAAATCTGCAGCTGCAATTTTACAGCCCATCAGATATCAAAGACAAACCTTGGGCGGCTCCGGCGTAGCGGTTAACACCTCTCACGCCAAAGTCACAACTTCAAATCTCACCCCGGGCAAGTTATGAATGGCCTAAGAGTGTTTAAAGTGACTGAAATAAAAGTAATAAACCTGAATTGATCCACCTATGGTGAGATCTGCCGAAGCTTGCAAATGCTCATTACAGCTAAATTTATATTTTTCGGAATTCAAAAACTAAACCTTCTGGTCGATTTTGTCGAATGTGGCTTTCAGATCAGTATATATGACGTCGACTTGTGCCTTATCCTCCATCGCGGTGATGCATGTACTGGTGAAATCCAAAAGGTTAGTAGCTACCGATCTACCGGGAATAGATCCATGCTGGTCAGTTGAATTGTAGGTCTTCGAGCGATTCAGGTCAAATTCGCTCAAGATGATCTCAAACAGTTTGGACGCTGCCGAAAGACTGGTGATACCTCGATAGTTCCTAATTTTCCTTGCTCAAAGGATGCATTAAATATGGCTACTAAAGGTTCTGCTAAGGCAGCTGAGCAACGGCAGAACACCACTGCCGGAATTCCATCTGGACCAGGAGAGATTGAGGTTTTCAGTCTCCTTGCTGCTGAAAGTACCATATCCCGAGTTACTTCGAATGCGCTCAGTTCCACTATGTCACTAGGCGTATCAGAGGCAGCAGATTCAGCTTCAACGTCACTTGTCATATTTTTATCGAAGACAGATGCAAAGTGTTTAGCAAACATCTCACACGCTTCGCTAAGAGAAGTGGACTCTTTCCCATCGAGTAGCATGTTGGACGGTATACTTTCATCTTTCCTTTTGCTGTTGACAAAGCTCCAAAAATTTCGGGGGTTACGCCGCAAATTCCACTGGACTCTGAGGACATGTAAGATATAAGATAAAGTATGTGTATGACATATACTGCCGTTATACGCATAAGATTCCCACGGTCCATAAGGATTGCATAGAACATGGGACAGTTATGCGTATAACGACAGTGTGACACCTGTCAATTTTGCTTTCAGAGGGTTACAATCAGCGATTTTAGCTGTAATGAGCCATGACTGAGCAATCAGCAATCATAAAATCACTGACCCTTTGAAAGTGAAATTGGCAGGTTGTATTTATCGTACACAAACTTTACCCCCTCTGCTGCGTCTTACAAATAAAATATATCATTATAATATAATTAGTTTCATAATTTCAATTAATAGAATTTAAGCTGCAATAAGCAATTGCAAGTATGGATCTGAACCTTCTTACTAATAGTAATGTAATTTTAGGTACCGTAAAACGGGGTAACTTTGATAGTATTTTGAAGTATATTCTAAATATTGTTTACAACAATGAATAATAGGTACTCGATGAATGTAGAAAACCATCAAAGGTAATACCCTAAACTACAAAATGAAACCAATGTTTCCAATTCAGAAATAGTGCATCCGAATGTGACCAACGTGATCTTGAGCACTTCATATGACTTCCATTGAACTAGTTTTTGAATTATCATGTGATTTGAGGTATCGCATGCTGGATTTTGACCCTGGTCAGAAAGTGGTCACTTCCCCGCGGGTATCTGGACCATGTCCGGATGTAGCCAGTGTGGTCCTGAGTACTTCAAATGACTTTCATTGAACTAGTTTTTGAATTCTAATATAATTTGAAGTGTCACATAATAGGTTTTTGGCCGGAGACGAACCAGCCCAGGGCTGAAAAGCTCCTTAATAAAGATATTAAAAAATAGATTTTATTCGTTTCTAGTCAGATTTTGACTCATGGCCCATACAATCCGGAACATATTTCAGCCATTTCTCCAGAACCAGTTGACCGATTCCAAACATATTAATGTGTTCTGTGGGACCATAGTGCCTTTCAATTGGCAGTTGTTGCGTTCTATTCGGTTCAGAGTTAAAAACGGGTTGGATAATTCCGTAGGCAAAATCGCCTGGATAATTGAGAATCTCCTTCCACCAACATCCTACCATCGGTCAGAAAATAAGCAATCTATCACGAAGATGCCCCTATGAATGGAGAGTAGCAACAGGGAATTGGCATTTCCACTCTTCCCACTTTGGAATGTCCAACGTCCCTCACATGCACCTGGAAATCTTTCATACTTTCTTGAAATTGCTTTTTTTAGTCCTCTAGAAGACCTAGAAGTACTCAGAAAAAAGTTCACAAAACCTTTGAACATCTTCAAGAAAACAATTTTTACGATGTGAGCGATAAAACCAAATTTTACTCTGATGGCGGTAAGCTCCATCCTGGATTAACTTTTAATACCGACCCTGATGGGATAACTCCGATGTCGACATCAAAGCAGCCGGACATTCTTGATCGGGATTTAATCTCTGGATTATACCGGTTGGAGCTTACCACCATGAAACCGTACAAACTGTTGTCCAAACAAATAAGCTAGTTAAGAAAACAAAACCAATTTAGAAACACAAGCAAAACAACTAAAAGAAAGCATTTAAAGGGCAGGCTAGCTCATTCCGCAAAGCTTTGTTGTTACCAATGACCTCAAAACCCAACCAAACATAGAATGAAATGAAGCCCGCTTCACCACACCTACCTTATCGACATTTTCGCGCGTCTTCGCCGACGTTTCGACGTATGGCACACCCCACTGCTGCGCACGGGCCTGGCACTCGGCCAGTGGCACTTTCCGTTTGTCGTTCAAATCGCACTTGTTGCCGACGAGCAGGAACGGGATATTCTCGTCGTTTTTCACACGCAATATCTGTTCCCTAAAAAAGACGAAACCGTCACGAAAATAATTCAAACCACTCGGAGGGAAAAAGCACGTACCGAAACTCCTGTGTCGCCTGAAAGCTGTCGTCTTCGGTGATTGAAAACACGCACAGGAACCCTTCACCGCTGCGGAAGTAGTTGTCGCGGATGGCCGCGTAGTCCTCCTGGCCGGCCGTGTCCAGGATGTCGATCTGTACCTCTTCGCCGTCCAGGACCACCTGCAATGTGAAAAAGATTGTTGTTAGGATTTTTTCGTGTCGAAATGCACTCAAAAGTGTCGTTAGAAGAGGTGCAGAATTTGGTTTGGAGTTAAGAATTTCAAAAATTAATGCTATTTACATAGGAGAAAATACATGTTTTCACAAATTATAATCATTCATGTCACGCAATAGTACAATTACACCATCCCTGGCGCCAAGCCTGCGTATTTTTATTTATTTCACTCACTTATCAATTCACTTTCATCGCTCATGGCTTTCGTAACTTTTAACCTATTTTGCTCTCTATCTCCATCTCTCTCTTCTATGTTTCTCTGGTTGTTCGAGTAGTTCGAGTGTGGACGAGCCAACCCTTTTATTGAAAGTGAATCGTTAAATTTGACGAGCGAAAATTCCCGCGGTGAGCTGACAGACTACCCGAGTAAAAATGTGTTAAGCTTTCATTGCTAATGTAGACGTTAGAAAGCCAACGGCAAATTAACGGGAAATTTTACACGGGTACATTGCATAGACACCGCAGGGAGAAACGACAGTAATGCGATCGATAATGGTCATTAGTAGTCATGGCTGCAGTAGTTTATCACTCTTCGTTGAAACGCAGCATTGAAATTGTTCAAAATTGTCGGTAGTTGGTTAAGGTACTCGCTAAGTTAGTACCAGCTAATGCACATAACCTCTGAAACATAATTGCAACTCGGGGCGACCCCGGTGTAGTGGTTAGCACCCATACCTCTCACGCCAAAGTCACGAGTTCAAATCTCACCCCCGGACAAGTCACGAATGACCCAAGAGCGTTAAAGTGACTATAATAAAAAAAAAAAAAAAAAAAATAATTGCAACTAAATCTCTCTCAATCTAACCGATTAGCAAGGTGATGGAAGTAATGAAGTGTGAAACATATCTTCAGGTGGTTTCCATGAAGTCGAGTTATGGGGTGTTCACAATATCTCAGTAACAATAATTTATGTCAAACAAAACAGTATCAGAATCTTGTTTCAGCGGTATTTAGGAATTCAGTTATGAAGAGAATAGTGCAAAGAGTTTTGATTGAACAATTAAAGAGCTACTGTGATCTCTTGAAGGAGACGTTTGCGTCACCTCTAAATCAATATATTTTTACTTCATGCTCGAGTACATCAATTTCCTAGTCATTTTGAAGTTATAAAAAACGAATGAATTTTAGGTTTCATGAACATTCGAAAAATATGCCGCACCCTACTGTTCATCCTTATATCTATAATTCCTTAGCAATTCACCTCAGAATTGTCTTCAAATTCTACTCAGAATTATTTCTTCTCGAGAAATTTTTGGAACTATCCTCGGGACTCCAATATAACTCTCCTCGGAATTCCATCGGGTTTGTACCGTCAAAGTTCGATACACTTGGTTTTTGGTGTGACTTCAAACTCCATCATCGATTTAATCAGCCAGAGAACGAAAGGGACGATACATTTCTGGGCCTTACCTGTTTACGCTCATTGATTTTCCAGATGTGAATTTGGTTCCAAATGTTGTCGTTTGGAACCAGTTATGCGAGGTAGGCGACGATTGTTCGTATTTGACAGTCACCTCCCCCCAGGTTTTGTCCTGTTTTGTAGTTCACTTCGGTTTCACTAAAATCCGCACTCCTGGCTTGAGAAAATTATTCCAGAAGCTCCTCGACCGAGAACGCGGAAAAAATCCGTCGAATTTTCCGGTAGCATTAGAAATCTCCACTGGAATCGTGCCGAGCCTACTCCACCGAAAATGCGAGAAAACTCCGTTGAAGCTCACTGGAACCTCCTTTGGCAGCACCGAAATCTCTCGGAGCCCTCTTCGCCGTGAACATATGAAAACTCCCCTCGAAAATTCAGATGCTGCCAAAGGGAGGCTCCCAGAGACTTTCGACGAAGTTTTCACGCATTATCGGTGAAAGAGGTTCTGCACGATACCAGTGAAGAGATTGGATGCTGCAGACGAAAGTTCCAGGGAATATCGACGGCGTTTTCTCACGTTATCGATGGACGAGGTTCTGCGTGATTTCGGTGATTTTGGAAGCTGCCAGCGGGAGTTTCTGGAAGTTCAAACGAATTTTTCTTGCCTTCTAGATGGAGGAGGTTCTGCATGATTTCGAAGACGAAGGTTCTAAAGGGTGATACGGTCAAAATTTGGTCAAGGGAAAACGCGTGTAAATCGGTGAAATCGTTTAGTTAAAAAATCAAATTAAATTTCTTTTTCAAGTTCAATTAGTATAAAATTCAGGAAAAATATTCAGTTAGGCTTCCGCTTTTCCAAATCCGAATTGCCGGGCCTTACGCTTGACCCCTGCCATCAGATTTTGTACAGCCACCTTGTCCACCTTCTTCGCCGCAGAAAGCCAGTTTGCCTTGAACTGCTGCTCGCCCTTAGCAGTTTTTTGGTCTTCTTTAGGTTCCGCTTGACAATAGCCCAGTATTTCTCAATTGGGCGGAGCTCTGGCGTGTTGGGAGGGTTCTTGTCCTTGGGAACCACCTGCACGTTGTTGGCGGCGTACCACTCCATGGCCTTTTTACCGTAATGGCAAGATGCCAAATCCGGCCAAAACAGTACGGAACAACCGTGTTTCTTCAGGAAAGGCAGCAGACGTTTATTCAAACACTCTTTCACGTAAATTTCTTGGTTGACAGTCCCGGAAGCTATGAAAATGCTGCTTTTCAAGCCACAGGTACAGATGGCTTGCCAAACCAGATATTTCTTTGCGAACTTTGACAGTTTCATGTGCTTGAAAACATCTGCTACCTTTCCCCTTCCTTTTGCCGTATAAAACTCCTGTCCCGGAAGCTGCTTGTAGTCGGCTTTGACGTAGGTTTCGTCGTCCATTACCACGCAGTCAAACTTCGTCAGCATCGTCGTGTACAGCCTCCGGGATCGCGCTTTGGCCGTCGTATTTTGTTTATCATCGCGATTTGGAGTCACTACCTTCTTGTAAGTCCATAGTCCGGCTCGTTTTTTGGCTCGATGCACGGTTGTAGACGATACACCCAGCTTATTTGCGGTATCTCGGAGAGAGAGGTTAGGGTTTCGCTTGAAACTACCGGCAACTCTCTTTGTCGTCTCAGCGGCTTCCGGTTTTCGATTCCCCCCGATCCAGACTTCCTGGCTGTCGACAAACGTTCCCCAAACACTTTAATTACATTTGTAACGGTTGATTTGGCAACTTTTAGCGATTTTGCCAACTTTGCGTGCGAGTAGCTCGGATTTTCACGATGCTCGAGCAAAATTTTGATACGCTGCTCTTCTTGCTTGGACGGCATTTTGACAACTGAAGAGTGAATTCCAAAATCAAAATAGGAGCAACATTCTACACACACACACCTTCAAAATGTGGGGTGTTCAGGTTTTTTAAATGCAAAATTGAAAGAAATACGTCAAGTTGATATTGACCAAATTTTGACCGTATCACCCTTTAGGAGCTTTGTCTTGTCCTGATAAAGGGTTCCACCAGGATTACGTTTGACTACATACCTTACATTGGGGCTACATTGAGTCTGTTGATGTTGACAAATAAATAAACTACAATTACATAAAGTATACAATGGAGGAGGTTCTGCACAATTTTGGTGGAGGTTTCTGATTCTGCCAGCGGATGTTCCATATTCTGATTCTGCCAACGGAAGTTTCAGGATATCTGTACGGTATTTTCTCGAGTTTTTTTTAGGTGGAGGAGCTTCCGCATGATTCCGGTGGAGATTTCTGATGCTGCCAACGGTGGTTCTACGGAATTTCGATGGAGTTGTCTCGCGTTCTCGGCGGAGCAGGTTTCGCAGATTTTCTTTGCTGCCAGAGAAGGTTGCAGGGAGATTTTCGTGAATTCTCTACTCCGAGTTTTCTTTTCCTGTTGTGTTTGTTTATCTTCGCCTATTGATGTTCACATCCCACTGAATGGTTGATGCAAACGATGGAAATTAAATGGATTTGATTTAAATTAAATGCATATTCAATAGGCATTCTAAAAGTGAGACTCCCCTAGGGGAAGGCAAGGGGGGGGGGAGGTGGCTGTCAAATACGAACAATCGTCGCCTACCTCGCATGCCTCGCATAACTGGTTCCAAACGTAAACAAGCCATAAGAAACCTACAGCGATTGTTTACGTTTGGAGCCAGTTTCATACAAGAATGATCAGTAGGCTGATTTGACAGCACGTCCCCCCCCAGGGGGAAGGCGTCTAGAGATCAAAATTCGAAGTCCATCGCCATTTTGAAATCCAATATTGTAGACCGAAATTCAAGATGGTGGCTTTTTCATGACGTTTTGTCATCTGAAACCATGCAATATGGGTATTTTTGATATTGGAAAGGCGTCTAAAGCACAAAAATCGAAATTCCATTTTGAAATCCAAGATGGCGGACCGAAATTCAATATGGTCAATATTGTCAAGAAAAAACCGCCAACTTAAATTTCGGTCAGCCATATTGGATTTCAAACTGGCAGTGGACCTCGATTTTTTACCTCTAGACACTTTCCTCATACCAAAAATACCCATATTGCTTGGTTTCTGAAGAAGAATAGTCATGAGAGAGCCGCCATCTCGAATATCCGACATCTTCTTCTTCTTGTTCGCATTTCAAGCTTATTGCTTAGCGCATATTAGCTTATTGCGTGCTCTCAACTTAGTGTTCTAAATGCACTTCCTCAGTTATTAATTGAGAGTTTTCGATGCCAAATACCAATGCATGAATTTGTATATTGTGTGGCAAGCACAATGATACTCTATGCCCAGGGAAGTCGAGAAAATTTCCAACCCGAAAGATTCCCTCGACCGGACCGGGAATCGAACCCGCCGCCTCCGGCTTGGTAATACCGTGCCTTTACTGACTAGGCTATGAGGCCCCTGAAAATCCGAATATCCGACATCGTGGATGTCAAAACGGCAGCAGACATCGATATTTGATCGCTAGCCACCTGTCCCATATAAAAAATACCCATTTTGTAAGGATGATGAATCGTCATGAAAAAAAAAACACAATCTTGAATTTCGGATC